CATCTGTAAATTTGTCCCCCTGGAAAAGTCACTTGTAGACCATCCGGTCCACATAGAATTGACGCATTGGTTTTAGTCAATAAGTCTCTTCCCAGCAGGTTGACAGGTGTTTTAGGAGCATTTACAAAAGAATGCCACAGTGTCTGTGTTCCAATTTGTGTCTTTAAACGTTTAGTGAGTGGCAGTACCTCAGGTGTCCCAGAAAATCCAACCAGGGTGATGTGCTCCTCAGAGAGCAGGACAGGGCGTATCTTTGTATTGATGGTAGAGTAGGTGGCGCCAGTGTCCACCAGGGCCATCAGGTTGTCGTCCTCCACCCTTATGGGGAGCATAGGCTCTGCTGGTACCTTGTCCCCTGGATTTCCTAGGCAGCCCTAGTAAGATTGTTCATGTTCATACTCGCCCCAGTAGTTCCCATGCTGGAAATATTGTCCATCTCTCGGGGCCAGGTTGTCATTCGGAGCCGTCCATGGGGAGGGAGGGCCTGCGCGCTCTGGTCTGGGTCCCATTCCTCTCTGGGGGCCCCTCCCACGCACCATCTCAGGCGCTCCATGGTAGTAGGAGGCCTCTCCTTCAAAGGGGCAGTCCCTCGCCCAGTGACCGTGCCTGTAACAGAGGTGACACACATCCCTGCCCCCTTTCCAGCTTCCACCCCTTCTTCCTCCCCGGCCCCCACGCCCACCACCTCTGGCCCCTCCCCTTGTCCAGTCCTGTCGTGGTGGAGTGGGAAGTCCAGCAGGCATATTAGTCATCTGATTACTCGTTACTTTTTTATTCTGGGTGGCTTTATTTCTCGCTTCACTAAGCTGTAACTTCAAAAGTTGACAAGTCATATCTTCAACACTCTTTCTTTCTTTAGTTTTATTTTCAACATATCGCTTAATGTGAAAGATTAAATTTGTTTTCCATTGTGCTGAATCCGGGTTAATATTATCTGGGTTGTCTTCAATCTTTGAGCGTATTGTTTCTGGTAAACCATTCAAAATAGCTGTTCTAAACGGCATGACTTCACTGACCTTGTGAGGGTGTCTTCCTACTGTGTCCATCCACTTGGTCACACTCCTGTCATAAAATACAATTGGGTCCTCAGACTCCAGCCAAGTTAACTCACGAGGGGCAGAAGACAGCGGGGTTGGAAAGTTTTCCCTCAGTGCTTCGTACCAGGCATTTGCATACTGGCCAAATCTGGAAGAATCACAAACATCAGCAGTACCAGCTTGTCTTTCAATAGCGTCTCTCTCCCATGGTTTACTGCATGCTGCCATCACTGCCCGGACGTCACCCATCGCCACATCATGACCTGTAAACCATGTGTTGAGACTGGAAATCCAGTTTCCAGCTCCTTGACACAATGGAGGCATTTTGTCTTTTATAGTCTGCATGTCACTTACAGAAAAAGGATGGTACTCCCCAGCTGCGCCTCGTCCTGGTCTCAGAGGGAACATGGATTTTGTCTGAGACCTGGTTCTGCTTGCCACCGGTCTAGTTTCTCCAGGCTCCTGGTCTCCGTCATCACTACTATCGTCAGAAGAGAATTTAGCTCCTTTTTTAGCCTGTTTAGCTTTACCGTCTCCCTTGTCACTCTCACTGTCCGTCCTAGTCATGGCTCTGCGTGCGGCTTTATTAATTAATTTTGCATTCTCCTGTCTAGCGGTCTCGTAATCATGGGTCCTACTTGGGGTTTCTTCTCCCTCAACTCTGTCTGCGGTGCATTCAGAGGTCGGTTTCCTAGCTCTAATATTTCTGAGAGAGTGCAGGAGAAGCTCCTGCACCTCTTGAATGGGTGGGGGTTGGTGAGGGGTGTGTGGGAGCTGTGGCGGGAGGCTGACAGCTGGATTTTGACTCGGATCTCTATTGTCCCCCACAGACTCCTGTTCTGTCCCTTCGTCCAATTCACTGTCTACAAAGTCATTGTCCCCTCTCTTTCCTACCGCCACTTCTCCTGAAAATGTATATTGTGGCAATATTAGATTTGGCTTACCTGGTTCTAAACCTAGAGAGTACTTTGGTGGAGCCGTGGGTAGGGATGGGTATATATTACTCACCGGCATTGCTCCGTTTTCTGTTTCCTTGTCTTTACTTACCATAGGTAATTTTGCCAACGCCGTGGCAGCCAAAGCAAAATTATGTACATTGGTCCTCAGTTTCTCAGCCTTTTTTAGTTTCTTTTTAATTTTTCTACACTCATTCCAACTCTTTCCCTGCTTTCCCTCAAGCTCTTTTAAATCCTGTTTTAGATTATTTTCCTCTTCCCGCAATATCCTAGCTAATGCGGACGCTGTCATATACTCAGGTATGACCCTTTTGTTCTGTATTTTTTCCCATGCTTTCACAGCCTTTCGTTTTGCCTTGTTCCTATATTTTTTATCCAGACCACTCAGAATCTGAGCCTCTATTTCTCTATAGAGCTGCTCGATTGGAATGCCTGTCTCCATTTTTCGGGGGGGCCCAAAATTCCCCCAGGTTCCAATGGTGTAAACCTAACTTGTGTGTTGACGCGTCCGTCAACCACGCTAGTCACAGCGGGCTTTCCTGTTTCTGGCAAGGCTTCTCAAAAAATCTTTACTTTTAATGTATTCTCGCAGGGTTCTAGCTACTTAGACTCCTATTTTATTTAATTTTAACGTATTTTCGCAAGGCTCTCACTACTTTTTAGGCTTTTACTATTTTTACTTTTTGAATTAGCTCCTCCGTGGACAAAACTCCTCTCCCCTTAATTTGTGTAGTCCAATATGCAGATTTTTAATTAGTCAAAAGGTATCTGCTTACCTTCAAATCAGCGGCCGCTTTGAGGAGAGACGCAGAGTCCAAGGGAGAGGTTGAAAGTCATCAAAGGGATCACGTCGAGGGTCACCAATTATTATATTAAAAAATGACGTGTTCAAAATCCCTTATAAAGATGACCATGATTCAGAAAGTTAAATTCAAAAAGGTTTATTTCCCTAATACAAAAAGAATCTAACACAACGACCTGGACCAACTTTAACTATCCCTTATTCCCTATATAAAGTATAAAGTATGATTTTGGTGGGCGCTCCACGCAAACTCACACTGCTGTCCCTGATCCAGTCTAAAAAACTCTAACTCACACATTCAAGCTATTTCCTTAAGTAAAATGTGCAGGAAGAAGGGGCGTGGTATCAGCCAGCTTCCGGGGTCCCGTGGTCCGCCTCCCTCCATCTGTCTTCTCCCGTCTGCATCTGAAAAAGAATCCATTGCCTCTCTAGCCTAACGTCTCTGGTCCAGCTGTCTCTTAGTCTGAGATCCATCTCTGTGGTCTAAACAAGTGGTAGACTAGCAGGCTCCAGTGTCATCCCACTCCTGATGGAGTGGGTTTAATAATGCAACAGTCAGCCAAAATCCAAACAGAAGAACCCATCTGTCATTTAGCAGGTCCAAGAAGACCCCTAAAATTAACTTAAAAGGACTGGCCTGCCACTCAGAGGTCGATAGACATTCTAAAACACATGGTTTTAGAATGTCTCTTAGTTATAAATACAACAGTTGGCAGGTGGACGAACGACGGAAGAAAATTGAACAAACAAACAAACAAATACTACAATTGAAGACTGTTTTTTTTGACACTTACTTGGTAAGAGGGAGGAATACCTCTCGGGGTGACTGTCTTCAGTGTTAGGAAAGATCCGGTGTCTGGCGTATTGCTCTAACAAGGGGTTTACACGCCACAGACACGAGGACTTGCTGAACCCGTGTGGGGAACGCGGTCTTCTGGATCCACGGTCCTCTTCGCCTCTTCGCCTGACGCATTGCTCCGTGCGGGGTTTACGCGTCACAGGCAGGAGTTGGCAGCGGTGAAACCTGGTGCGGGGGAAGCCGCTGTCTGTGGTTTCAGACTCGTGCGGGCTCTGGGAAGTGAAACATAAACAAGCAGTGCTCGCGTTCTCGCGAGACTTCGCAATGTCATACACGTGTGAAGACTGCGGGGTGCAAATGCCCATTGAGGATGGGCATATGAAGTGCGTTTTATGTTTGGGAGAGGATCATGCCTCTGCGGCCAGGGAAGACCCGTCCTCTTGCATGAACTGCTTTATTATACCCAGGCCGTCACTCGAGGCTCGTTATTGTCTGTTTAGGGGCAAGAAACGGAAAGCCTCTTTTACTGAGCTGAGCCAGGAAAAACGTGACAGAGGGTTGGGAACTAGGTCAAAGACCCCCATGATTGGGCCTCCACTTACAATTACTGTGCATGACACCTCTGAGCCTCATGAGCAGGAGGACGTGAGTGATGTGGATGTGGAGTGTATGTCAGACAGTGATTTGGCACCTGACCAGGAGGGCACGGCATCTGTAGGTGAAGACAGGGAGCCTAATAGTGCATTGCTGCAGTTTAAAGGGCTAATTGAGAGAGCAACTCAGGCTCTTGGTGTGGAGTCCAGAGCTGTAAATGCACCCGCCCCCTCACGGTTTGACAGTGGTTGTGGGCAACCATATGGATCTTTTTCGGTTCCACTTCTTTCAGATGTGGAGGAGCTAATCCAGGCTGGGTTTACCAGACCAACAGATGCATTTAAAACTTCTGTTAGCTGCAGACGGCTGTCTGCCATGCAGGATCGTGAGAAGATTGGCTGTGCCACTCTTCCTCAGGTGGACCAGTCAATTGCAGCCCTAATTTCTCCGTCCAGTTCTGGGCTGGGGAAAACTACATGTCCCTCCAGAGGTAGTAGAATGGTGGATGCACTTTTGGCTAAGGTGCATAGGACCATTGCTGTTCAAACACAGCTAGCCTATACTATGTCTATACTGACCTTGTATAATCGTCAGCTTACATATGAGTTGGAGGGGGGACAGGGTTCAGAGCGGCTGGTTAAAGAGTTGCAGCTTGTCTCCTCATCTATGGTTCAGCTAATGAAGGAGCAAGCAGCAGAGGCAGGGAAGAGTATTGCTTCTCTTTGGGTAACCAGGCGGCAGCTATGGCTCTCCCAGTCACCACTGCAGCCGGAGGATCAAAGTGGCTTGATGAAACTCCCGGTTGACCCTCAGGCCATGTTTGGTCCTGGTGCCATGAGTATGTTACAGCAGGCCCAGGAGGCACGCAGATGTGCGCGGGAAGTGTCTGGGGTGGTTGTGCGGCGGCGGAAGTGGCAGAGTGCAGGTTCCGCATCCAGGCCACCTACACAAACCGGTCAGCAGCAAAACTGGGGCTCACGGGACTTACGTACCACCATTGAGGCCCAGCGGCGACGGAACAGGGGCAAAGGGGGGCCATCAGGTTCTGGGTTTCAGGCTAAGGGCCGACCCAAGCCTCCGCCTCAGTCCTGACGCCAGGATGGACCCAGCGTGTTTCCCCGACATCGAGACACGCCGGACTGCCTGGATGGCCATGGGTGCGTCCCCATGGGTCGTGTCTACCATGACGCAGGGGTACCGTATCCAGTTTTTACGGAAGCCTCCCACCTCAGTATCCCCTTTGGTGGTCACTCAGGTGCATTCCGAACACAGGGCAGTACTCCTGTCGGAGATTTCTACCCTGTTGGAGAAGAAGGCAATCAGAGAAGTGCCACCAGGCGACAGACAGGTTGGGTTTTATTCCCGGTATTTTTTGATTCCCAAAAAGGACGGCAACCTCCGCCCCATTCTCGACCTGAGAGGACTGAACCGGTTCATTCGTCCTCTGCGGTGCAAAATGTTGACAGTCTCCAGGGTGAGACAGTTCATTTGCAGAGGGGATTGGTTTGTTACCATCGATCTGAAGGACGCCTATTTTCAGATTCCCATCTGGAAAGGCCACTGGCGTTTCCTCAGATTTGTCTTCAACGGCAAGGTGTACGAATTTCAGGTTCTTCCCTTTGGGATATCCCTGGCTCCTCGCACATTCACGAGGTGCATGGAAGCAGTGCTCTCACCTCTCAGACAGGAAGGCATCAGAATTCTGAACTACTTGGACGACTGGCTCCTGTGTGCGGGGACACAGCAGGAGTGTCGGGCTCACTTGTCTCTGCTGTTGGAACACCTGCGTCAATTGGGGCTTCGTCTCAACTATGAGAAAAGCCATCTCGTACCGTCTCAAGAGACGCACTTTCTAGGCTTGGTCTTGAATTCTCAGGCAGCAAGTCTCACACTATCACAGGCGAGACTGATGTCCTTCGAGAGTTGTCTCTCGCAGTTCAGACTGGGGGCCAGAGTCACATGGCGGCAGTGTCTCCGCCTCATGGGGCTTATGGCGTCCATGTCACAGGCAGTCCCTTTGGCGCTGCTGAACATGCGCCCAGTCCAACGGTATCTTCTGGGTCTAGGTCTGGATCCTCAGAGACACCTACACGTGTCAGTACTGGTCACCAGGCGTTTTCTATTGACCCTTCGTTGGTGGCGTTGCGCAGAAAATGTGAACAAGGGGCTCACTCTCGGGCCAGTGATTCATCGTCATCTTGTGGCGACGGATGCATCACTGACGGGATGGGGAGCTGTGTACAGAGGCAATGGGGTCAGCGGACACTGGCGGGGGGCCTACACAACACAACACATCAATGTCCTGGAGCTGCGGGCGATATATCTAGCCCTTCGACACTTCCTTCCTCACATACAGGGGCAACATGTCCTGGTGAGGACAGACAGTGTGACAGCAGCCTCGTATGTGAACAGACAGGGCGGGTTGGGCTCAGTCTGCCTGTGCAAGATCGCACATCAACTGTGGCTGTGGGCTCAACCCAAGTTCCTGTCGCTGCGGGCGGTGCATGTGCCAGGATTGGACAATGTGGCCGCGGATCTGCTCTCCAGGGGAGGGCCGGATCCAGGCAGCTGGAGGTTACACCCTCAGGTGGTGTGGGCCATTTGGGGCCGTTACGGGCAGGCGTCAGTCGATCTATTTGCGTCTCGCCAGAACGCCCACTGTCCCCTGTTTTTCTCTTTGGGGAGGGACAATCCTCCGCTCGGGGTAGATGCAATGTCTCACCCGTGGCCTCACGGTCTACTTTATGCTTTCCCGCCATTCGGTCTCCTCCCGTCTCTCTTGCAGAGGGTGCGGGTGGAGGAAGTGAGAGTAGTCCTGGTGGCTCCCCTGTGGCCTCACATGACTTGGTTCTCGGACATCCCGTGTCTCCTCAACGGGACTCCGTGGGAACTCCCAGTACGCCCGGACTTGCTGTCGCAGGGCCTGGGGGCTCTGTTTCATCCGTTTCCCCGGGGGCTGAGGCTCTGGGCCTGGCCCCTGAGAGGTCCGAGTTGCTAGCTATGGGACTTCCAGATTCTGTGGTGCAGACTTTGGAAGGTGCTCGGGCACCATCCACGCGTGCACTATATACGCATCGATGGAACTCCTTTGCTAAGTGGTGTGTGCAGCATGGGTTTGACCCTCTGGCATGTACAGCACCATAGATTCTGCAGTTTTTGCAGTATCTTCTGGAGGCGGGCAGGTCACCATCCACATTAAGGGGAATGGTGGCTGCTATCAAGGCACAAAGGGTAGGCAGACACAGTTTACCTGAGGGTGTGTCCCACCTGATCTCTAGGTTTCTCAAAGGGGCCCGACGGCATGGTGGCAGGTGTACAAGACCACCCCTTCCCTCCTGGGATTTGGAGTTGGTTTTGCAGGCCTTGGTGAAGCCTCCTTTTGAGCCTCTGGCTACAACGGACCTGAAGTGGGTGTCGTTGAAAACGGCCCTTTTGACAGCGTTGGCCTCTGCAAAAAGGGTGGGAGAGCTCCACGCTCTCTCGGTTCATCAGGACCTCTGTGGGTTTATGCCTGAGGAGGCTGGTGTAGTTTTGCGACCGGACCCGATGTTTGTCCCTAAGGTTATCCTAGGTCGACACTCAGATTTGGCAATATCGTTGAGGTCCCTGTTCTCCGTTCAGCAGGCAGGGGGTGAGCGGGAACGGTCGCTGGTGTGTCCAGTCAGGGCCCTGCAGGTCTACATGACTCGGACACGGGAGCACAGGACTGTGGATCAGCTTTTCGTTTGTTTTAAGCAAGGGAAGTTGGGCCAGCCCCTTTCTAAGGCTCGCCTGTCGCATTGGCTTGTAGATGCAATCCGTCAAGCATATGTGACTATGGGGGTTGAGTTTCCTGTGAATGTGAGGGCACATTCTACACGGGGGATGGCAGCGTCCTGGGCTCTGTGGCGTGGCGCATCGCTGGATGAGATCTGTGCTGCTGCCACGTGGTCAGCTCCTTCTACTTTTTCTCGGTTCTACCGGTTGGATTTAGCAACAGGCACGTCCTTTGGGGAACGTGTGCTGGGTGCCGCGCAACCCCAGTGATGTTACCCATAACCTTGCATCTTGCAGGTTGGGATGGGGCACCGGGATCTGGGCAACAATGTCCTGCGTTGGCAGAATGGGTTGCCCGTCTTTATTTTTCATGACAGTGGCCTGGCCTTTGCGTCTTGCAGGGCTGTGTCGCCTCGGTTGCGTCTTGCAAGGTTGGCTTCTAATGTGTGTAGTTTACTGTGTCACTTGGGTGGTTTTTGTTCTAATTGGTGGCGGCAACGTCTCATTCGAAATACACCCTGCTCGATCCCCTTGCGGTGTGTCTTACAGAGTCCCCGTACATATGAAATATGTAACTGGGTGGAGAGATAGTCTCAATACGATAGAGAACGTTACGGTTACAGTATGTAACCATGTTCTCTGAGTGAAGAGACTATCTCTCCAGCTCGATTCCGCTCGGGGATCCGTTACATCAAAATTTGATCAAGGACACACGGGCACACGGGTGCTTTTGTAGCGCAATCAGCCATCTCACAGGTGGTGTGTCTTAAAGAATTATCCATGTCACCTGACCCGCGTGGGGTCAGTCCCCCGTACATATGAAATATGTAACTGGGTGGAGAGATAGTCTCTTCACTCAGAGAACATGGTTACATACTGTAACCGTAACGTTATGACACAGTTAAACGTTTTTAAACACATTTAGGGAATAGAAGTTTTGAATTAGTATGTTTTTTGAAATCCAAAGATTAGTGCTAAAGCTGTGCAATTCTTTTTAGATCTAACATATTTCTAGATTACATTCTTTTAAATCTGCTGCTTATTTCTTAACTGTTTGTGAGTTGTGTTTGTTTTTATGTTTTTTATTTTAGTAACAAAAGCCGTTTTTAACATTTAAATTAGAATCTGTGTTAAAAGTGATTATTGATTATAGACTTCGTCTAAAAAGAAAGAGGGAATTAGGATTAGCTGTAAAAGTATTATATTATTAAGTTAAACTCTACCCAATTCACCCAATTCACATTCAAGCAGTGACTTTTTGTTTTGACTACACGCCTGACCTTGTTGCTCCTGCTGATGCCACAGCAGAGGAGCCTGCTCTAAAATGTGCTCCAATTCATATTGACTTAATTTGAAAAATGCTGCAATTATTTTAAATTAGTAGAATATATGCTGAGATAAATGTTCAAGTGTAAAAGGGAAATTCCATAAAGTGAAACCCAAGGACGCATAGATAATTAAACACACAGTACAAAAGTACATAATACATATTTTAAAGTTTAAAAGGTTTTTTGAGATTTGAGTCTTGTTTTTTATTGAGAGTTTCTGGTTTTAAAAAGTTTCACATTAGTAAGATAATAAGTAATCTTTATTACAAGCGCATGTGGGAAAGCCAAGAGCGCTCCAAAATTGTTTAGACTTTAGAGAGAAAAACAATCTCATTCACAAACTGATATCTGTTGTTTTTAATTTGACTATAAGGTTGTGTTCCAGGACCAAGGGGCACACACTGTACAGGGCCACTGGACTGCGGGAGTGGACACAGAGCTCAGACCACAGGATATATACAAATAAACTTGCCTTGCCTTGCCTTGGCCTGTCCTTTGAGAACCCCACGACCCCCTAAAAACACCTGCACAATAAAAGCTGCCCCATGCGACCTGATGAGGCTCCTTAGCAGATCAAACTTGTGAGCCTCCCACACGATGATGGTGGTTCAGGGCCTGGACCATGAGTTCGTAAAACGTCTTCCTCGATGCAGCTACCAGAGGCAGAAACTGTACTAGAGAGAGAGAAAGAGAAAGAGAGAGAGAGAGCGGGTGGTTTTCCTGCCTCAGCGAGAGACTTTTGTTCAGCGTTAAAGAAAAGAACCACAGAAAACCACAGAGAGGTTGTTGAGGAGGAGAGTAGGTGTGAGGAGGGGGGGTTTCCTGCTTCAGCGTTAGATGGTTTGTTCAGCATCAAAGAAAAACCTCAAAGGCACCTACCTACCCCCCCATCTCCCCCGTGTTAGGGTTAGGAGGGGGTTGAAGGGGGAGAAGTGAGTAGGGTGGGAGATGAGGAAGGGGGTGATGCAGCTAAAATCTGGAACAGTGTTCCTGAAAATGCGAGACAGGGTTCTGCTCTGACAATGTTAAAATTTGGAACAGTTCTCTTTTGCTGTGCATAGAACTGTGGGATTGTATCTTCACTCTTTTTAATTCACTGTGATTATGTATTGTTTAAATGCCTTTTTTGTTTCTATCTTGTTTTGTATGCCTTGTGTATGAAATGTGCTACACAAATAAACTTGCCTGGCCATGATGGGGATGAGAGGGTGATTTGGGGGAGGAGTGATGAGGAGTGAGGAGGGGTGGTGTGACTACCTGTATCCACTCTGACCACATGTGTCCCTCAGGCTCTGTTTACATGAAGAGGCTGTGACATCCATCCATCCATTTTCTACCCCCTCAATCCATTTCTGGGTCGGAGGGGGTGGCAATCAGTAATGCCACCCAAGTCTCATAGCACCAGCCCCTCACTGATCTTCTGCAGGTGGTGGGTCCAAAGGAGGATGGCTGCTCTGTCCCTGGGCTTCATGTATGAAACTTGCGTACGGCCAAATCAGGGTGTAAATGAGGCGTACACAAAATATTTACACTTTTCCGCATTTATCAATCTGGAATTTACACCAAGTCAGGAGGTGGTGTAAATGTGTACGCTCATCTCAACCTTCATCACAACACGCCAAAACATGCATGATATTCAAGATTTGGACAACAATAAACATATTCCCACTCTGGCAAAATTATAAGCTGCGTTTTCATTGAGCATCATGTTTCGGAATTTTTATCAGATTCAGATTCAGTTTATTTGCCATTTGCAGTAAAAACACCACATAGGAATACATTAGCAAAAGTCACCAGTGTGCACAGACAAATACAGACATAAAACAACATTAAAAGACAAAAATAAAACAAATAAAACAGTAAACAAATGTCACTGTGAAATTGATCGACTAAAACAGTTTCAAAACAAGTGCAAATCATTAAAGTGCTCTGTTCACACTGATAACAGCTTGTGGATAAAAACTGTTAGCTTAACGAGATGTCCTGCATCTCAGAGAGCGATATCTTCTGCCAGAGGGAAGAAGCTGGAACATGGCTTTCCCAGGGTGGCCAGAAGAGTCATTGACAATCCTAAGAGCTTTGTTTAAAAGTCTGGATTTATAAAGAACCTCCAGAACAGGAAGCTCACAGCCCACGGTCCTCTTTGCAGAGCGGAGCACCTTGTTTAAAGCTCTTTTCTTTATCTGTGATGTTTCCAAACCACACAGACACAGAACCAACAAGTAAACTCTCAATGGTGCAGCGATAAAAGTTAAGCAGAATCTTAGAGTTAGTGGTAAATTCTCTAAGTTTACGCAGAAAGTAGAGACGCTGACGAGCTTTCTTATCGACTCGGTCAGTGTTTTTAACCCATTTCAGGTCGTTAGACAGAGTTAAACCCAGAAACTTGCACTCCTCTACGATCTGCACCTGGGAGTTGTCGATTACGACAGGCAAATGAGAACTATTGCGACTGAAGTCGTAGACCAGTTCACATGTTTTCGATGCGTTCAACTGGAGGTTGTTAGTTTTACTCCACTGAACCACATTTTGTATCACTGCTCTATAAGAGGATTCATCATTGTCACTGATGAGACCGATGATGGTGGTGTCATCAGCATATTTGATGATCAAGTTTGAGTCAGAGGAGGACACACAATCGTGAGTGTACAAAGTAAAAAGCAAAGGACTCAAAATACATCCCTGAGGAGAACCAGTGCTCACAGAAACAACATCAGAAAAACAGTCATTGATTTTCACTCTCTGAGATCTGTCAGTTAAAAAGCTAAAAATCCATTTACACATGGCAACACTTAAACCGAGAGACATGAGCTTTTCAATCAGTTTACCTGGGACAAGGCAGTTAAAAGCAGAGCTATAATCGATGAAAAGCATTCTCACGACAGATTCACTAGTGTCCAGGTGACTGTAGACAGAGTTCAGAGCAAAGGAGATGGCATCCTCCACACTCCTGTTCTGTCTGTAAGCAAACTGGAGCGGGTCAACACTCACAGGGATCTGGCTCTTAATGAAGTCCAGCACAAGCCGCTCAAAAGTTTTCATAAGAACAGACGTGAGGGCCACAGGACGATAGTCATTCAGGCATGTCACAGGAGTTTTCTTAGGAACTGGAATGATGGTCGACTCTTTAAAGCAGTTCGGCACAGTACAGTTCCTTAGTGACAGGTTGAAAATGTCTGTTAGCACAGGGGCAAGTTGCTCGGAGCACAGCTTCAGGACACGAGGGATACCGTCCGGGCCTGGGGCTTTCCGGACTGTGGTCCTGGACAAGACACGCCTGACTTCCTCCTGAGTCACGGTGAAGGTACCTTGATTGAAACACTCAGGGAATACAGTAGGACAGGCATCAGTGGATTCAAAGCGACAGTAGAACGTGTTAAGCTCGTTTGGCAGAGCTTGGCCGACAGATGCAATTGTCCCAGCGCTAGGTTTCCACGATGTGATGACTTTAATACTGTTCCACATGCGCCGAGGGTCATCTTCCTCAAAATAACTCTTTAACCTGTCCCCGTAACTGCGCTTTGTAGATTTAATAGAACGTATCAATGACTAACAGTGTAACTTGTAAGCAGCTGTATCATTTGATTGAAACGCCAACGCACGCTCATGAAGTTTCAGTTTCACTTCCGTAGATCCTGTAGGGCTACTTTGTAATCCGCACGTGGGTGAATGTAAACAGCACATAAAAATATCACTGAAAACTCACGGGGAAGATATAAAGGGCGGCAGCTCAAGACCAGGCATTCCAGATTGGCAGTACATGTTTGGTTCACGATGCGAGTGTCCGTGCACCAGCGCTGATTAATTAAAAAGCACACACCTCCGCCTCTGGCCTTGCCCGTGGTCTCCTTCACTCTGTCCGCGCGGTGAATCCCGGGGGCTGAACAGCAGAGTCCGGGACGTTCGAGTGGAGCCACGTCTCGCTGAGGCAGAACACAGCGCAGTCCCGGGCCTCGCGCTGGCTCTGGAACCGACACAGGAGCTCGTCCGTCTTGTTGGGCAGAGACTGGACGTTGGCCAGGTAGATGGAGGGCAAAGGGGTCCTGGAGGAGCGGCTACGAACGAGCAGACCGCCTCGCCTTCCCCGGTGTCTGCGCCTCCTTCGCCGACTCGAGGTGCCCAGCTCCACACCGCGGAGAGAACGCCGGAGACGCCAAGTCCCCTCGCTCTGTTGGCGCCCACCGCCACGGCCCGCCTGCCGTGCTCCACCAGCCTCTCGAGTGGGACACTCGAGGAAGTTTGTGCACCTCAGTTCAGGTAAAACGAGTGACCAGTCACCCGCGTGGTCCCGAATGTACAGAAGTGTTTGCCGATCATATTTCACTGTGGCAAGTGAATGCCAGACGAAAAACAACAAAACACAGATTGTGCGCACCAGAGCGTTCACTGCGGCGCCCTGACACGGCGCCATCTTGCTAGTCCTCATGCTCTCTCTCTCTCTCTTATTTGCGCATATGAAAAAGTCTAACACTCTGGAAACACGCAAACTTTGAATAAATCACAGATCATGATGAGGAGCCTCTTCTGTTCTTTGATTTTAAATCTGACTTCTGTGTGTATTATTTTGACCTGACCTGCGGGTGGTGGGTCCACAGGAGGGACTGCCCACGTCGTCCTTTCGGGCTTAGCCCGGCCGGGCCTCGTGGGCTAAGGCCCGGCCACCAGGTGCTCGCATTCGAGCCCCGACCCCAGGCCTGGCTCCAGGGTGGGGCCCCGGCTGCGCCATGCCGGGCGACGTCACGGTTCTTCTTTTCGTGCTGTCCATGTTGGCTTCTGACTGCTCTTCGTCTGACTCGTCACCTGAGACCTGTCTGCCATGGGAGACCCTACCAGGGGCATGAAGCCCCAGACAGCATAGCTCCCAGGATCATCCGAGTACTCAAACTCCCCCACCACGTTAAGGTGGCAGTCCAGGGGGGAGCATAATGTGCATTTATCTTTAGCAAAAGAAAGTTCCACTGTTAGCGGACCTTTAGCTTTGTTTTTGACCCACAAACAGGGTATGCTCGTGTTCCCCAAATCGTTAGCTTCAAAATTATAGCTTCCATGAAGAGATAGGAGCAGGTGTCTGTCCGCAGTACCCTTGTGAAAAAGACGGGCAGAATGCTCTTTGCGCAGGGTCCGTTTGTGTTTGCTGTTAGCGACACGGCTAGGGAAATGTGCTTTTGCCAAATGATTGACATGTATAAATAGCCAATAAGTGATAGGTGGGACATAGGGGAACTGCTTTTTATTCTCAAAGTAAAAGCGTGCGTAACGCAGGTAGATGATTTTTTTATGTTTATTTTTTTTTTGCCCAAAAAAAATACTGGGTGTTTTTTTGGGGGGGCATTCTGGCGAGTTTTGGGCTAGTTTGCCGGCATCTAACTGGCAACCCTGCTACGCAGTGAAGTCATGTGCTTAGTCATGTGCTGAATTGTGTGCGATCGTGTGGTTGAAAAAACACGTTTTTCAAAAATGAAACACCTTCGCCGTGTGAATGGCCAATGTGCCAAATATACCTTCTGCAATCGCAGAAGAATTATGCTGCAATCGCCTGTAAAACACCCCGTTTTTGCGACAAGTCAGCAGGAAGCCGGCCAAAAAGACTGTTTGGAAGCCTCAAACGGTACGTTTTTTTGTTCAAGGTTATGTAAAAATAAATATACGCAGCTGCGTTTTGAACAAATTTGCAAAAAAAATGTGATAAATTAGAAACATCTTTCTTGAATTGTAGAAGTCAATAAATAAAGAATTAATTAATTAATTAATTCATGTATGTTGTGCAGCGGTGGCTCTCATTAATGAAGCGTCTGCAGCGTCTTGTGAATGCAATGTAGCGCTGTATAGAGAGAGCGTTTGCGGTCCACCTCCGGGAGAGCTTCTCCCAGGTCCCGGTGGAGGAGGGGGACATGGAGTCCGAGTG